TGGAGTGTTGTGGGGATCGAACTACAGCAAACTGAGGCTGCCAGCATTGTGGAAGCAGCCACTTAAAGAACTGAGCTAGGGCTGGGCCCCCAGCTTTGCTTGTTCTAAGTAGGTGCTTTAGACCACTGAGCCATCTCACCAGCCCCAAAGTACTATTTTTGACATGACACTAAAATCCTTCAGGCAGGCTGGCCAGATAGCTCAGCAGACTAAAGCGCCTGCTTAGGTACAGGGAACGGGGTTCAATTCCCGGTGTGCCCTTGCAGCCCCACTCCCAGGGTGCAATGAGATGGTGACTGAGTGCGCATGGTGGTGTGTCTCCGATCCCAGTGCTTGGGAGGCTAAAAACAACAGGATTACTATGAGTCCACTCTGTGTAGACCCTGTAGACCTTGTACTAAATACATAAAAATAAATAAAGTCCTTCAGGCATCCAGGACAGTAAATGGTTAGGAACCATGTCATATACAGGACTGAAGAACGTAGAGGAGGACTTCTGCTCCAAGAAATGAATGGAGAGAGTATAGAAACTACTTTCAGAAGTCCTAAGATCAGGCCAGAAATATAGCTCAGCTGGCAAGCGCAAGGTCCCGAGTTTGATCCCCCGTGCAACACAAAACCAAAATACTACACAGATGCCCACTGATCCATTGCAGGAAAAAGGCTTCGCCACCCTAGTTGGGTTCCTTGTTAATCACAGCCTCTGTTCTTGATGGTGGGAGAACCAATATCAGTTAAGCCCCACAAAGCAACAAGTTCTGGAGTCTGAATGCTCCAGAGCAGTGGGATGACCAAGCGCTGGGGTTCAGAAGATGGGATCCGGAGATGGGGGTCAGACGCCTGCTAGGATGGGTGTTAGCTTTGAGAATGGGCTGCTTCCTAATGATGGCAATGACCAGCAGCTCTGCATGGCCATCATGCAACCACAGGGACAGGGACAGCGACAGCGCTGGCTCCTGCCTGAGCCGGGGCAGGTCCCAAGCCACACAGGACACAGCCCTGAGCCTGGGCTGTTGAAAGGCCAGTTGTTTTGCTGTGATAAGGCAGTGCTGTTCTTCAGCAACCCAGTCTTCCAAAATGGCTATAAAAGCTACGGTTTCAAGGGGTGGGGGTGGAGGGACACAGGAAGTAGGCACAAGAATTGCATTTTCAGTAACAAAGCTATTTCTCCAGTAGGAAATTCAGAAACTCTACAGCTATACAGCATAATCACAAAACAAATCCAGCCTCTGATCACACCTGGCTTTTGCTCACTTCACTATATTCTTTGTTTTTTTTGGCAGAACCAGGGATTGAACTCAGGCCCTTGCGCTTGCCAGGCAAGTGCTTCACTTGACCATATTCTATCACCACCAGCACGGTCTTTCTTAAGTCACTGATGGTCACGGTTAGCAAAGCATGAAACCCTTCACCTCATGTCCACCACCAGTGCGCATGTGCGGTCTCCACCTAGCTAGATGCATCAGGAAGGAGCGGTCACAACTGCAACAGGAGGAAACGCCTGCTCTCCTCCTAATGACTATCCGTGTGTCCCTATCTCAGCCACCTGGGTACCTGTGGACAGAGGAGTGGACATATGCTGGCTGAGACTGGGAAAAGACTGGAGTCACCTGTGATGAATGTTCCTGAAGCCACTCAGCTTATTTTTACAATTTAGATTGAGATATGACTCTATAATCTACCCATGTTTATTGTAGGATAAACATGAGACTGGGCATGGTGGCATGTGCCTGTAATCCCAGCACTTGGGAGGCTGTAAACAGGAGAATCACTACAAGTCCGATCTAGTACTGAGACCCTGAACCCCTGTAGACCCTTCCCTAAAATATGTATATATATTTAAAAAAAAATAAAGCATGATTAGGGCTGGGGAGATAGCTCAGTGGCATAAGTACCTGCTTCCAAGTGCAAGGTCCAGAGTTTGATCCCCCAATACAGGGTGTGTGTGTGTGTGTGTGTGTGTGCGCGCAAGATTAGGGCAGGTGTGGTGGTGCACGCCTGTAATCCCAGCACTCAGGAGGCTGAGGCAGGAGGATCACTGAGAGTTTAAGGCCAGCCTGGGCTACAAAGTGAGCCAGCTTGAACGGCATAGTGGGACCGTCTCAAAAAGACCAAAAGGGGAGGAGGGCACACACCCCCCATATGAGAAAGGAGGTCATTCTAAGTAGATATGCTGAATCAACTCAAGGGGCTTGAGTCCTTGGCACACACAGCCCCGCTGTCCCCCCTTGCTGTCAATGGGGTGAGCGGGGAAACCCTTGCTCATTTCTGCTGTGAGCCTGGCCTCCTGGCTGCAGGGGCAAGAGCCAGAGCTGAACAACCTGGGCATCTGGAACTGACACTGAGGGCTGTCACTTGCTCTTGGCTACCGGTTGGGACTGATGCCACATACATGAACACTCAGGACACGGCACAGCCATGTGCACAGAGGAGCGTGGCCATCAGGTCTTCTGGAGGAAGGAAGAGGCAGATTGCAGGGGAAGCAGAGATGGGGGGGCGCGCTATAGCTGCAGAGACTGGGAAGGGCCTTGCTTTTGGACTAGGGCCTGTGTCTGGTGGGGGCTGATGCCATTTCTTGGCCTTGGCTTCTCGGAGTTCCTGCCTCGAGTCCTTTTAATAAACTTTGGTTGGAAAGAGGAGGGGAGGGCTGGGAACACACAGGGCAGAGGAACAGAAGCTCTGCAGGTGGTGGCAGGCCGGAGGGCAGTGGGAGACCGGAAGCGCAAGGTCAGTGTGTGAACCACCTGCAGCTCACGCACACACCCTTGTCTGGCAACCGCTCCGGCCCACAGGTGCACCTGACTGCCGCGTCTTGCGCTGACCCAACACTCCCACCCGCTCCTCTCCCTTCTCCACCTCCACCCACTCACCAGCCACACAGATGTCAAAGTAGTCACCAAACTCGCTTCGGATGTGCTTCACCAGATCTGTGGCATAGTCGAAGCCTCTTTCCTCCGATTCCCACTGGCCTCCTACGGGGTCTGCAGGGTTGTGGAGGTCATGGTACTGGGTCTGTCCGACCTTGGAGAGCCTCTTTGCCCCCTCTGTCCATCCCTCTACCCAGGGCAGAGCTTCACCCTAAGGAGTCTTATCACCCGGAAGCTGGCAAGCAGAGCAAGGAGGAAAGCAGCCAGCCCATTCATGTCTACAAGGGACCAACTAGCCAGGCACCTGCTCCAGGTGAAGCCCAGGAGATAGAGTCCACTGAACTCAGGGAATGGAGGTTCCTGCACCCCACCTGTCACTCTGCGTGTCCCCCCCCCCCAACTCCCTGTTGTCTTGCAGCTCTTGCCTCCTGGGAGAACTTTCTGTCTCAAGCAAGAAGGGGCCCCATGGTGGAGCGCATGAGGACACATGCTCCCTCCTAGCCATCAGTTTCCTCTGCCCACTCCCAGGTGACCTGAGGACAGCAGGCACTCCTGGCTGAATGCCAGGGCTACACTAGGAGACCGGGTCAAGCACAGCCAGCGGGTGGGCTACCAGGCCTTGGCCCCACTCCCACTTGGCCTATATCCAGGTCTACAGGTGGTGGAGGCAGTGTCTGTGGTAGACTCTGCCTCAATGCCCACTGGTCTGCAGGTAGGAGGGGACCCTGACATCTAGTGGGGGACCCTGTTCCAGAGACAGCAGAGGCCTTGGGAACAAAGAACCCCGAGAGGAGGGCAATGCTGGCTCCACACCTCCCCGCAGCGCCAAGATGTTCCTGATGCCCAGCTGCTTCGCTTTATACAGGTGGCCCGTGATCTCCTCCGGGCTATGCTGGCAGCAGGTCATGTGCAGCACGGTTTCCAGGCCACAGTAGTTCATAGCCGTGCTGGCGATCATCATGGAGGACGTCTCTTTATCTGAACCCGGGTCCCCTGCTGGGTGCCAGGTCACATCTATGAAGAGGGGGCCACCTGCTGCCATCTGGTCAAACCTGCGGGGGATTTCACGCTGAAAAGAGGCTCCTGGGGGACACCACTCTCCAACACCTGCTCATGGAGTGCACAGGTGAGGCCAGAGGCAGAGCAACCTGTGTTCATCTCCTGGCTTGGCACCTAGTAACTCCGTGGTCCTCGGCACATTACTTACATCCTCTGAGCCTTGGTTTCCTTACTTATAAAATGTGGCAAGCTGGGTGTGGGGCTGTGTGCCTGTAATCTCATCAGCACTTGAGAGGCTGTGGCAGGAGGACTGCTACAAATTAGAAGCCAGCCTGGACTACATAGTGAGACCTTG